ATTTCCGAGTATATCCGGAGATATCCGGAAAAAACAGAAATTTCGGAAAATGATTTTTATTTTTTTTTTGGCTTTATTTTCCGAAAGATTCGAAAATAAATTGCACTCCTACATTACCACTCTTTTCCTGCTACGTAACGGTGTTTTCAGATTTGCTATCCAACGTTTCGTCTTGCGGCCACCATCATCAACTTTATTTTTTCTCATAGGTGCTATATTGGATACTTTCTGTTTTGAATAGAACCAGATTTCAATGATATATCATAAGTTATTGTTCTTTTTCGAAAAAATGGAGATATTGAAAAAACTAATTCCTATCATAATAGGTTTCGACATTGATGTTTCTAAATTTGAGTTTCAATTGGTTACACTCAATGACATTTTGTCATTGTACAAGTCGTTGAATTTTTGGCGAAACATGGCTTTCACGAATGAAGAAAAAAGAGATATGATACAAATTTATTACAAATACAATAGAAACAGTGTTAGGACATCGAAAATGTATATAAACTTTTATTCAGGAAGATGACAACCACCTCGTTATTGGATCAAAATCTCACCGAGTTTGGTTCGTTTGAAAAGCCAATGCAAAAATGCAATGCAACGCCAATGCAAAATTTGATGGACGAGGTGTGTATGAGGTAAATTAGACATTGTGCCCTTTTCAATGAAAATAGAACTTTGAACAAATAACAATGTTTGAAATGTAAAAACGAAAGTTAATCACAGCAAATGCTCAAAATGCTGGCCTTGTTCATGATAACTCAACTGTGCCCTTCTTCGAATATTATTCACTGCACGAATAATTTCCCTCCTCACCAATCTTCCGAAATCTCTAACAATGATGGTCCTCAATATTTTGATATTCCCTCTGAAACCAGATGTTGTTATAGTTAGCCAAAGGTAAGTCATCCAAATAGTCTTCGAAAATCAACATTAAAAACTGGTGATGGGTTTCTCCATTCAGAATTTTTCAAAATAAATGAAGACTCAAAATACTATCTTTGTACATTCCTGCCCACACGTTAATACTAAGTCGCATTTGAGGTCGAATTTCTCGGAACTGTCTGGGGTTGTCTATGCTCCAAATATGTTCGTTATTTAGGTTGAATATCCCACAATTTGTAAAAGTGCTTTCTTTCATCTGTCCAAATTACACTTTCCAGAAAAACAGGACAACCAGGTCTTCTTATTAGGTAATTACAAAACTCTAATCGCCTTTAGGAATCACCTGGATGTAATTTTTGTGATATGTGTATTTTGTAAAATTCAAAACCTTTTTTTTTTAGATGTCTTCAAGCACTTTTACGACAAATAATGATTTCGGAGGAAATTTGACGTGTAGATTTCCCCGGGTTCATGTTTATCTGCACATTATTAATTTTTATTGAAAAAGACACAATTCTAACTCATACATACCTCATTTATCAAATTTTCTTTACTTTCCTGGTCCATTCAGTCTCCGTATTTTTTCCTCGTCGTTTGAAATGAACTAAACTCGGTGAAATTTTGATCCAATAACTTGCACATAGTTCTATGTGGTTGTCGTCTTTCGAGATACAAGTTTAAATACATTTCCGATGTCCTAGCACTGTTCTATCGTATTTGTAATAATATTGTATTATATCTCATTTTTCTCTTCATTCGTGAAAGCCATTTTTCGCCAATAATTTAATGATTTGTACAATAACAAAATGTCATTGGAGTGTAACAAATTGAAAGTCAAATCAAAGCCTATAATGATAAGAATAAATTTTTCGAAGAAGAATGATAACTTACTATACATCATTGAAAAAGTAAAATCTGGTTCTATTCAAAACAGAAGCAATCCAATGTAGCACCCCATAGGAAAAAATAAAGTTGATGATGGTGGCCGGAAGACGAAACGTCGGATGGCAAATCTGAAAACTCCACCATGTAGCAGGGAAAAACTGGTGACAAGAATGTGCAATTTATTTTCGAATCCTTCGAAAAGTAAAGCCAGAAAAAAATAAAATCCATTTTCCGAAATTTTTTTTTTTTCCGGATATACTCGGAATTTCATAACTTTCTCAACGGCATATTGTTAGACAGCTAAATGGGCAACTTTGCCCCTGTTCAACCATCTCCGTATCTCTCATGGTTTCCGAGATGTCAATGGTGAGGATTGAATTTGAAACACTCTGTATAATGGTTATTTCATGATCAGAACTATGATTCGAAGGGCCACCTTCACACAGCTATGAATGTGATATAAATGTCTATTGTGCTTCAAATTTGTATGATCAAACGAGCAAAAACACTCTTCATTTTCAAAAAAAATTATATGCGTCATTGAGAGCTTCAAATCTTTCAACAATACGTAACAGAACACTATTGTGATGAAAGCGCAGATCCTGACGGGGCCAATCGTATCATGATCAAATCTCTTCAGATACGAAGTCAAAGTATTCGAAAGTATTTCTTGAATCGATAGTATTTCAAGATTCGTCTAATATTCAGAATGAAAGTTGAGTTGCCAGATCCATCAACCCTGATTAATTACCTAATCACTCCTTTCACGCTTTGCACCGGTAGTATATTGCGGGAAGAAAGAAAGAGAGGATAACTAATTTTTATTCAGACGAAACCTGACAAATCAAAGAAGAGAAACAATATTTTCATCTATCTTTCATATGTTTCTGGTAAATTATCATGGCCCATGCAGTGATGATTCTAAATTGTTGAAAAATTATCTTCCCAGTAATGATTTATGAACATGTTTAACTTCTTCAACGTCGAGAATGACTGAAAATAAATATATCTAATTCAATTAAATACTTTGAAACTCCTAATTTTACAATTTCAATAAAGTAATAATTGATTTTCACTTGCTATCGTCTAACCCGTGTTACGAATCACACGTTGAAAGGTGAGACCTCGTTAATCCTTAGCTCGCTCAAGTTTTCACTTCTGAGGGTTGTCGTTCGTAGGAGTGCGACAGCTGGTTAAGAGAAAAACAGAAACAGAAATTAGGTTTATTTTCACTTGATATTATTGAGGCTATATGAATTCAAATCATTAGTTTCCATTTTCAAATCTAGATGGAATATTTCCATCAAAATACGTTTCATTGACATTCTACTTGAAAGATAGTTACAACACTCCGGGTCAGAAATCCTCATATATCACTTCGTTCAATTTCAAATGAAAATATTGTTTTTGTCAAGGTAGATATTATTCATATTAAATTTCACAATACCACAATGAACTGCAATGAACTCCCATTGAATCAGTGTTTCCTATCTTCTTAGAATTCATAATGTATCTTCATAAGAGGTCGAATTTAAATATGTGTTCACCTTCCTTTGATGGTTTAAATTGATATTCTTGCAGAGTATTTCATTTGTAAGTCGCGGAAATTTTATGGTCAACTTGTAGTTCCTCGAATCTTCACTTGATATAACCAAGTGACAAAAAGTTCAAATTTTGTAAAATATTTTGTTGTTTTAGCACTAAATCAGTTGAAGATAGTTTTCGTATTTCGTTTTATCTGGGTATATTTCATAAATTACTAGATATATTCGAACCCAATCGTTCATATGATACTTGATATGATACTTTGTGTTGACATATTCATCCCAGTTATAACATATATATGCAGCCGTGCTGTATTTCAGGGGATCTGTCGATGCTGACTCTGACGTACGGATAGAGCACAAAAGAGATAAAAAATCCCCTTTGTGCGTATACAGAAAAAGTTGTTCTCTATAAAAAATTGTTTCTGATCTCAAATAAATCTTCTAGGCATTTATTTTATCCTTGAATATTGCTAGAGGGTTTATAAATTTCGATAAATTTTTGATTAGGTATCAGAAATTTCCCAATGCTTTCAATGCAATGGTGAAAATTATCATCTGGCTAGATGAGAGGAGAACAATCATTCAAGGAAAATTTTTTCTTAAAATATTTCTTACCGTTCAGGTCTCATCGGTATAAGACAATTCAACAGGTGCGACAGTTTGTTTCTGAACTTTTCAGTTTCATTTCTCTCTTTGAAGAGAAAGTTCAAATATAAAGAAGTCAAATGAAATTTTCACTAATTAAAAATATTCAACAGTACCATGCGATTGGTAAAAATGTTCATTCGGTCATGGTGACGTTCTCAATGTCATCACTCTGAAATAAATTTTTACAATACATTGAAAACTTTCATTAGGTTCAGAAATGGAAGTACTATTGGCTCAATCACAAGTTCATGTTGAATATACATGGTACTGGGATATCGTAGAGTGCTTACATAAAGTAGCAGATCATGTTCATCGGTGAAAATCGGTACTGAACCCGTGTTGGGGATCACACGTTGAAAGGTAAGACCTCGTTAGTTCTTAGCTTGCATCAGTTTCGACTTTCGACAGCTGGTTACCGGAAAAACAGATTTTAACAAAAGGATTTTCAGCAGATCGGCGAAAGGTAAACCTACATGAAGAAACAGGCATTTCTGTTACAATGGAACTTATATTTTTGTCCCATACAATATATATATCACTGGGTAGTCAGCACCGACAAGTTTCAACCTGTTTCTTCATAAGTGATCCCATTAAATGAAATTGAACTATTTTATCTGCACCAAACGTCTAACGTGTTCTCGGGGATAGAAAATATTTTAAACTGAGCAGACTTATTAATGTGCATGAAAAAAATTCTAGAAGATACAGATCTGGTAATCGTATAAGCCATACTATTTTTTAGGTCATTTGACATTTGGTGATCATAACAGCAGCCAAATCGGAAGAATTATCTGTTACAATTATTTTTTACAAAAACCTGGTAGTAATATTTTCACAAGTTTCGGACAAAATGGTCCTGATAGTCCTACACTATTACAAAAACTGGTCACTTATGAGTAAACAACCTCCAAGTCCTGGACTGAAAGTATATAAATATGAAATACTGTAGGATGAAAATAACGGTTTCTTATCTTCCCAAAACGTATTTGAAAGCATATCCTATAGTCATACTTTCCGCATGTACTAGCACAGATAGTGTAAGCAGCACCGGCACCAGCTCAATCCTAGGCACAAACACAAGCGTAGTCGGCACAGTGTTTGACTCTCACTTGGTAGAAGGATATCTCGTCCCTTCTACGCCGACATCTTCAGAGATCGACGAAACGGAAAGTATGGGTGAGAGTGCTTTTCTGATGATGTACACCAATCTAACTCAGGTATTGTGGGCACTAATTCATCTCGAGTTACCTTATCCATTTATTTTCTTGATAATTTATTTTTTTAATTATCTATTGAGAAAATACAGGAATGTAGGAGCAAGAGCCCCTTAATTGCCAGTGGTCAGGATCGTTTCCAGAGTAAATCAAATATAGCAGTTTCACAAGACAGCAGTTTATTGTTTCATGAACAGCAAAACTTCTTCACTAATTCAAAGCTTTGATGATGTATTGAAACAAAACAATAAATTGATTGTATGATCAAAAATGAGATGTCATATTTGTTGGAGTATATAAATGAAGAGAATGAGTTTGAAAAAAATGGTCAAACCTTCCTCTATTTAAAGAAGACTTCAGTTCAACCTATCGCAACTTTGAGATTTATATTGAATAATCCCTATTCTCTCATCTTCCATGATAGGTGACATATCTGAGGAAATAGATTCAAAAATAGAAAAGAGAAATGAAAATGTCTGTTTCTGTAAATAACGTTACTGCAGTTTCGTACTATACAATACAATACAATAATGTATAATGTATAAGTTTGAAAATGTCCGTATAGGACGAAACTGTAGTAACATTAGTTACAAATAAAAGTGGTAAAAAACATAGATTTCCTACTACTAAGTAACGGCTACATCCAGCAGTTAATTCAAAAATAGATTTTGATGATTTTTTATTGTAAATTTCATAGCTTTATGGATAAATGAATCCTCAAAACAATTAACCAGAAGTTGCTCATTCTTATGTGTAATCCCCTCCATCCCGTATTCCAGATGAAAACCAATGGAATGTTCTCTCTCTCCAAGAGTGCAGAGTGAAACAGTAATCAATAAATATAATACGCACACAAGTTATGGGATATGAGAAAAACGGATCATATCTCTTAATAGTGATGGATTGTTATTTAAGATATTTGAGATGGTCTCAGCTTGGTATTATTTTTTCCTTTTTCTAGAAAAAGGAAAGCAAGAGTAATTATCCGACATTTCAATGTGATGGAATGTCAGAAATCCTTATGAAGAACATTGTGAAAAATATTTTTTAGACATCTTCCTAACTGATTGATTATTACAATTTTCTTGCTGTCACCAAACTAATTTTTTACATAATCCATCCATTTGCAATAATTCGATGATATGAGTTTGTTCAATCATGTTGTGTACTTTGGGACTCACCATTAGATATAAATATTACCTGGGAGGAAAAGTCAACGCCAATAACGCGTACAAAGTTTAAGGTATGTGGTGGAATAGATACATACGTGGAAATCTATAACGTATTTGAGTAACTCTCCAGTGTGGAATTTCTATCTAACAGTGAACAAAATCGATACACGTGTTTCACTATAGAATAGCTTCTTCAGGCGTGTTCTTACTGAACCAATTCTACCCCATTAGAGTTTTGTATGAATCAACAATTTGAATGATATGATTTTATACCTATTTGATGACTGATAATTTTTCCTGAGTTCAGGTAAAGATTGATTACGAAATCAAGCAACAAAAAATGTTTACAAACGAACCCATAGGAAATAAAATTACCCGAGTTTATATATCAATTCATTACCTAATTCAACATTAGAGAATAGAAGAGGTTATCAATCAATTTTGTTTTCTTTCAATTAATGAATGTTCCGAATTCTTGAATTTGTTGATTTATAAGCATTCTAAAAGAATTATCGAATGTAACACTTCATAGTCTTGTGATGCACCGTTTGGAGCCATTGGTGTAGTAATGAATATCACTGTAGTTTGTTCCCAACACCAAACTATTATTTTACCACCTTGACACTTGTTTCGATTACCAAATGATCATCTTCAAGAAGGAGATCAAACTCAACATACTTAACAATGTTGTTCTTATTTATACCATAGATACCTCTTCTAGGTACGTGCGTCTCAATGTCTTAAACTGATTTCACAATATTGCCTTATCTACAAGTCTTTAATCAATTTCACAATGTGTCCTTATGTAATAGTGTAAATGTAAGTATTGGAATATTATTTTAACAAGATATTCAGTATACTATCAGGTATTGGTTCACCATCGTTATTCATGAATTTAACTGGAGTTTTTTCCCAACATCAAACCGTGATTTCAACACCTCGACACATGTTTCAATCACCAAGTGATCATCTTCTAGAAGTGCTGGAAAAAAACTCCAATAATATTCATTACTACACCAAGGGTTCCAAACAGTGCATCACATCGTTATTCATAATAATATTATCGTTCATACTATCGTTATTCATAATAATATTATGAATAACGATAGTGGACCAATACCTAATAGTGCAGTATTTAGTTTGTTAAAATAAAAATTAATTATTAGATTTACCTGACTATTACACAAGGAAACATTGTAAAATTAATTAAAGACTAGTAGATAGGACAATATTGTGAAATTAATTTAAGACACTCAAAACGCGGGTACCTAGAAAAGGTAACTATGGTATAAATAAAGATAACATTATGAGTATGTTTAGTTTGATCTGCCTCTTAAAAATGATCACTTGGTGATCAAAACACGTGCCAAGTCTTAAAATAACGGTTTGGTATTGGAAAAAGATTCCAGTAAGCTTCATAACCTTGATTGAAAGCTTGCCCTCTGCCAAGAAATTGTTTGTAAATGTAAAATTGCCTTCACATTTAAGAAACTTCTCTTATGATATTTTATTATTTGTAAAAAAGTTCTTCCTGTTAGGCCAATATGAAGTATTGTCCAAGAACCAAAAGTCAATTAATATACTCCTGAATCGACCGACATTGACATTTTGTTTTTATTGTTTCTAATAAATTTTCTTACATTCTAACTTGTTCTGCGAGCCACATCTATTTTTTTAAGGAGTGATTTCTTTGGTGCGAATGTTCTACAGGGTCGAACTTGAGAAATTTGAATAATATTTTGCATAATATAGGAAATATACAAGTGATTCATTCAAATGTCACAATTATATTCCACCACAGTGCCACTTTAAGTCGGGAAAGTATTTTTTCTGCGCACGCTCGATTTGAGTTGCTGCCACATAAGCTCTATGAGAATGAACACGCAGTAGTAGGGAGGTAGTCGTAACACTTTATGTGCCAATTCTGCTGCAGTTGTACCACGAACATACGTTTTCTTTGAAGAAAATGACTCCAGCACTTGTAATGATTATTTTTTTGTGGACTTTTTGTGGACTTGAGTTTGGAGTGTCTACATGACAGAATGGTACTGGAGATGGCCTGTAAAGATTGGCGAGAAGTTATCCACAGATTTCTGGCCACACATGCTGACGTAGAGGAAAATAAAAATCTGTGGTTGGGATACGAAATTATTAGCACCCGCACTAATATTTGTGGCTTGAAATACCTATCACTATAGGTTAAACGTGGAATTCTTAAGACTATTTGGTGTATAACTTTTTTATAGAATCTCGAGTAGATTGACGCGTTGATAACAGTTTTCTCATTAACAATACAGATTTAGGGAATAATATTAGAAATATCAGACTTACTTTTCAAAATCATACAACTTCCATAGTTTCTTGGGTAGATCAACGTAATGAAAATTGTTTTTCTTGTCACACATACAGATTTTGAGAATAAAATGGTTGCAATAATCAAACTAACTTTTTAAAACCCCTTTTAGAATTGGAACCAGATGATGTGCGTGCATCAAAATCGAACAAGTCTCATGGAATCTTGGGCAGATTGACGTAGTGATAACAGTTATTTTGTCACCCATATAGATTTCGAGAAAAAAATGTTGAAACAGTCAGACTCACTTTTTAAAACTCCTTGTAGAATTGGAACCAGGTGATGTGCATGCATTAAAAATCGAACAAGATGATGTGCGTTCATGAAAATAACTGAACTTTTGAATCTTGAGTAGATCAACATAGTGAAAACTGTTTTCTTGTCACACATACAAATTTTTTCATAAACTACACCTGGTGAGGTGTAGTTTATGAAATTACTATGGATCTTCAACAAGTAACGGCCGAATCAATCAGAAAAAAACACATACAAATTTCGAGAATAAAATTGTTTAAACAATCAGACTAACTTTTCAAAACCCCTTGTAGAATTGGAAACAGATGATGTGCGTGCATAAAATTCGAACAAGTCTTATGGAATCTTGAGTAGATTGACGTAGTGATAACAGTTTTCTTGTAACTCAAAGAGATTTTTAAAAAAATTTGTTGAAATAATCAGACTCATTTTTTGAGATTCCTTGTAGAATTGGAACCAGATGATGTGCGTTCATGAAAATCACACAACTCTTATAGAATATTGGGTAGATCCACATAGTGAGAACTGTTTTCTTGTCACCGATACAGATTCCTGGAAAAAAATTATTGAAAATGTCAGATTTATACTTTCCAATACCCCTCGTAGAATTCAAACCCGATGATTTGCGTTCATCAGAATCTCACAATTTCTCAAGTAGATCAATGTTGTCAATGTCATCCATACAGATTTCGAAAAAATTATTTTTTAAAATGTAATACGAATGACTCAAAATATTGATTCTCTTCTAAAAGAGTTAACTGTCTCAAACAAATTTATTTCCAACAATATTCCACTGATCACAAACTAATTCATTTACAACACTTAGCAACTAACGCTTAATTTATTTCCACTTTTGAAATTTCTTGTTTAGCCGCACGATTCACTTTCTGAACTGTCCTCTTGGGTCGGGAATCCGGGCTTATATAATATAACGGTTTGATGTCATGTGTTTGATACATGATGTAGCCGGCATACTGGTCAGGGGCGGCTTCAGATTCGTTACAGTATTCTCGAAATCTGTTATTTGTATATTGAAAATTTCATAAAGTGAACTGGGGTTAGGGATCATCTGGTTCCAATCCTACAAGAAATCGCAAAAAATTTTTTTTTTAATCTGTTTGGGTGGCAAGAAAACTGTTATAACTACGTCGATCTACTCAAGACTCCATAAGACTTGTTCGA